ATCAGTGGAGCAGGAAGTTTAGTCGTGGGAAGGCAAAATCGTGATCATGTTTGATGTTCAGTGTCTTAACTGTGAAGGTTAAGAAGTAATGTTTTTGTGTGCACATTGAGTGCTGTAAAACAAGAACAGCATGATGCATGATACAGGTGATGCTTTAAAGCTGCAACAGGTTCGTTTACGACCGATGATTTGTCTTCTGTAGCTGAGCTCTTTGTCTTTGCTGCTGCACTGAATGAAAGAAAACCGCTGCAGACGCCCTGATACGCAGATTTATTTATTTTTTATTCCTCCTCGCTTTTATCTTGCGAGGCCGGGAGGGCGAGTCGTAGAGACACGGAGGGATAAAAATAGGAAATCAGAGATGGAGAGGAAAGTACGAGTCGGGAGAAGAGAGAGGCTGAGCGAGGGCGACGCGGAGAGGCAGCGATATTGCTTAACCATTCGGAAAGGCTATGGGAACATCCCTGTGTGCGAGCGTATGTGTGTTTTCATGCCGACCCGGTGGGTTCAACAGGATCGCAACACGTCACATCGGCTCAGGCACACACAGATACTCCTACTGTCCCGCATCCAATCCGCCAAACGGCTCCGACTGTGTTTGTAGAAAAAAGGGGAGAAAGATCCAAATGCTCCCCGAAAGTGGTCACTAGTGCGCCCACAGAGCACAATCCGAGGCTTTCATCTCCTCCGTGGGGGGAGCCACAACAATTATTGAGGTGGACGTTTTCTACAGTGCAGCAGTCAGCCGTGACGGGCGAGTATTAGCCTCTAGCTTTCAGGGCTGAGCGGCCGGCCGGCGAGCTCTGCAGGACTCCCGATTCACGCAGGGCAGATCACAGAGGCGTGCATGAATGGAAACTGTAACGCAGTGTTCGGCTTATTGCGAGACGGCGAGCGGAGCCGGGTGGGCGCAGAGGGATGGAGATGTTTGATGGAGAAGGTCTGGTAGAGAGGGTCAGCTAAATGCCAAACACAGCGCCGAATAATAACAACAGTGTTATCCCAACTGGCTTAATAGCAGAATGCTGCAGAGATCAGTGAAGCTGTATTTCTCTCTGTCCCGGTTAAAAGAGCAGAATAGAAAAGTCCTTGTTGT